TCTCTTAATTCACTATTCTGCTCCGGTTGGGGAGATTCTCTTACAGGTTTTGTCACCCCACAAAAATCACAGCAGAACAGCAGTTACTTTAGACAATGTTATCAACCTCACTGAAAGCATGAGACCCTATTCAGCGTGCTTATAGCCGAAGGTGAGCGAGCGCAAGCCAGAAGTGACTGAGGGGCTGAACAGCCAAATCATCATTACGTTGAAAATTATACTTATTTAAAAAAGTATATGTGAAAAATGCTGCAAATTAATTAGACTATGTAAAGGGAACCAATAATTGTTTTTGTTCACCCCTTGCTAGTGCAGGAATCGGTGCTTGATCGGCTCGAGACAGCCGAGTTGCACTTTTAGATCGTTACTAGAACTCTTGCTGATAAAAAATAGAAAAAGTTATGATAACAGCTCAATCGACCTCACTTATCGAAAACTGCCAACGACTCATACGTGAACGCGACTACTCCCAATCTATCGTTCACGTTTAATGACTCTACTATACACTTGCCTCTCTTGCACTTGTAAAGCACTCTTTGATTACATAGAAGAACGAGGCGTATGGAAGTCCAAAGCTGACATTGCCATAAAACACACTGCGAGGAATCGAGTAGTATATTGCAAAACGGGATAGAAAGTATTATTAGTAATATTATAGTTTCAAGTCTCACAAGAATGTTGATTAAGAACAGAACTTTCACCCTGGGCGTTACTCTAATCTGCACTTCTCGCTCACCGTCCAGGCGCGCTTCCGCAAGGCCAACTGCGGCCAAAACAGCAGTTAACAACAAAATATTAGTAAAAAATAGTTTTAAAGGAATCTTCCACGGAAAAAGCTCCGCCTCCATTACCACAGAAAAACGATACCCCTTAGGCCCCTAGCCTCATGAGCATAGCAAAAAGAACGGAACATAAGCGTTAGTTTCGATAATACTAATCCTACACACAAGACAAAATGATCACTCTTTCCGTGGAAGATTCCTTTAAGGTATCGTTTTCTGTGGTAATGAGGGCGGAGCTTTTCCGTGGAAGATTCCCTTTAAGTGGGTAGAGAATGTTTGAACTTAATCCTACGACCAAGTTGAAAGGGTTACTCCGCTTGAAAGTGGAAGTAGAGGTATGAAATGGAGTCGTAGTGAAGAAATGGAAAAAGTCACCGGAAACACCGAAAATAAGCTTCCTATCTTCAATTTATGAGGGAGTCCAAGAGAGAATGTGAGAGATACTGGACCTTGAGTAGAGAAAAAAGAATTACAGGCTACAGAGACGTGGATAGGAGCGAGAGCGAGTTGGTCTATGTATAATGCAAACTGGCTGGTGAAACCCCGCAACTGGGATGGAGATACGGTAACCTTAAAGCAAGCGTCGGGATAAAATGTTTGTGTAAGAGCATTCTGTTATGAAGCTCTGGGTGGGGAGCGGTCTTGAAAATAAAAAGAAAGCAAAAGAAATCCTCGACTACGTCCCTAATAAGGGCCTCCTCTATGTCGGCCGCATTACACCTTGCGGGGCGTGTCGGACGAGTTTCACGAGCCCAGCTGCACTTCCTCCAGTACCAGTAACATTGAACCGCAATGGAACCGCTGCCGCGACTGCGCTCGGGGTTTCTCGCAGCGTCACGTTGGCAGCCGAGAGCGGAAGGCGTGGCTTGCGGTACGAAGGGTGGATTGCGGGTCAGCGAGTTCCAGCGCCTTTTGTCTCGCACTTCCAATTCGCAAACGGGCGCGACATCAACGCTTTTCCGCCTGTCTACTACGATCGGGGGTGGAAAAGATGAGCGTGCTTATTTTGGACGGCGCTCGAGACCTAGGTTCTCATTTCGGGAATTCCGCCTGCAGCGAAGTAAGTTGCAAAACCTGCGCTGGCTCACTTTTTCTTGGGTTGGATTGTTTAACTATACACTCATCTTGTGATTTGGTTTCAATTGTTTGGTGTATACCGAACATGTGGTCTCCTTACAGTCCAGAAGGCGGAGTGTGACGGTCGTCGTGGTCAAAAAATTCGTCGTAGCAAGTTTCTCTGGCAACATACATGGTTCACGATCAGCTTGTTATCGATGTTGATAGCAACTTCGACTTGAATGGCATATCTCGTAGCCAACTGACGTCGATCCACCATCGAGTTCAGAGCCACTCCCTAAATCAATTTCTTATGCTTATTCCCAGATTCTCAACACTTTGGAGTAGTCAAATCTTTGAGCTCAAGGAAAACTTTCTAGGGCCCAGTTTACGAGTCTGTATATTCCTCCAATTTTTTTGCTGCGGAGGGGGTTGACCACCAAGGCT